AAAAATGTCTAACTAAACAACAACAAAAATAAATAAAAATCTTAGGGATAACATTTAATCACTTATTACATTTTCTGAAAATTTTGGATTTTTAAAGTGTGTTACTTCTGAGATATTTCACATACAATATTCATGCTCTTAAGAAGAAAAGAGATAAAACGTAACTCTCAGATCTGAAACTTTCTAAGAAAATATCATACTATTAATACTTCATCTAGAAAATAAATACATTTAAGTTTTAGTTATATCTATCTAAAAAAAGGAAATTTATTTTGACAATCTTTACTTAATTTTTGGTTTAAAATTTGTTTCCAATATACATAGTACATAAAATATTGTACATTTTTTTGGCTCTTTAGTATGATTTTGTTTGATTGGAATATCTTTAAAAACTAAGGAACTACTCTGTTTAACACAAACATTTGTAAAGTGGAAAATAGATTAATATCAATGCGAAATGGCCAATTAAAAAAAATAAGAATAATAAACTGCACATCTAAAAAAAATGAATACCTGTTTTCAACTCTTTGAATATAGTTAGTTTTATGTAAAACAAAATCAATTAATGCAGCAAAGCTTTTCTACTTGAATTAGATAATTTGATATGGATAGACTGATATACATAAAAATATATTTAATTATGACAACACACAACAATTATCCTTTCCATTTTAAGGACTGTGACCTTCAGTAGCATTTATTAGAGTTATAACATTTAAGGTATTTCATAAAAGTTCCTGATCCTTCATCACCTTCCGACTTCAAACCCATTTCCATTTTATTCAAGCCTCTAGAAAGATTAATCAATTCTCAGTTAAATAACTTTCTCTAGCAAAATCGTCTCCTCAATCCTTTAAAATCCGGTTAACGTTCCCAATATTCCATTCAACCTGCCTTGTTAAAAATTACCCAAGACCTTCAATCCTCCATAGATGAATATAAAATCCCTATCCTAATCTTTTTTGACTTTTCTAAAGCCTTTGATTCTGTAAATCATAACACCCTCCTTTCCAAACCTCAACTATCTATATAAAATAGCGTTCTAATATGGTTCCTATCTTTTTTATCCCAGACAGTTGTTATTCGAAACAAATCACCTTCTTGATCCCTCCAATTAACCCGAGGTATTCCTCAGGAATCCTCACTCTCTCCTACCCTTTTCTTCATTTATATTACTGATCCGTACTCCATTCATCACTCCCGTTGTCACTTACATGCTGATAATTTCCAAATTTACCATTCCTCTCAACCTTCAGAGATGCTTGAGGCTACTTGAAAGCTACAAGAGGATATCGCCTGTTCCTAAAAATGGCCAGAAATAAATTAATTGAAGTTGAATGCAGATGAAACAAAGGCTATCCTCATCGGTTCCATACATCTCATTAGCTCCCTTCCTTACTCTCCTCTACTTTACCTTAATAGCCGCCCCATCCATTTCCTCCTGACAGTCAAAAACCTAGAGGTAACCTTTAATCTCAACCTCTCCTGGAACAATCATGTTTCCCAAATTACCTGAAAATCCATAACTATCGATAACCACCTTAGAGTCCGTGATTCTATGCCTCAATAAATAAATAGCTCCTTGTAACTTCCCTCATTTTTCCCCACTTCGACTATGGTTGCTTGGTATATGGAGGGTTGTCCACAAGGCTGGAAATTTGATATAAAAAAATTAGATTCATCTTTGTGATTCTCAGACGTTCTCATGTTTCCTGCAGGTACTCCGAGTTGAAGTGGGCATATTTCCTAATGGCAATTCTTTCTTGGTATTTTCCTTTTCCAAGTCCTCAGAACCAAAAATCCTCTCTAATTCTATAACTCCTTACTCTACCTTCCTATATCCACTCCCTTAATACCAGATCCCAACCTACAGATCTATGTATCCCTTCCCAAATCCAGATCTATATATCCCTTCCTAAATTAAACTTCAGCAAATTTTTCATCATCTGTGCTACCACCATTTAGAATAAGATAATCTATAAGACATATTATATTCATAGAGTAAAACTAATGATGTTAACTTGACCAAAGCCAGCTTTGGTAAGTGTAACATATGACTCAAGGAATTGTAAAAATAAATTAGGATAGTAATTAATACTTGTGAATGTCACTCCAGTATCTAATTTTAGTATATATTGACCTCTATAGTTTTGACTTCTACCTCCTTATCTCCTTCCTATCTTAAACACTTAAGGAGTTCTTCACTCTCCAATTCAATAAACACAAACATTATTTTGTTGACCATACCGCCACTGCAATACGCAGAAATTATTTTATTTTTTTATATTTTAATAAATCTTATTTAACTAAATCGACCACTCCAATGTTATTTTATCATTTGGAAGAATATTGCATGTTGTTTGAAGTAATATATGGTTGTTTTCGGAGAGAGATTATAGCAATTTATTTAAGTAAAAATTGATATTATCATGTAACTGATAAATTAAATTTTAATGTATTAGGTTTAAATTGTAATATAAATCTTCAAACTCAAAATCCCACTAATTTTGATAGAGAATTTTATCCCGTTTTCTCTAATATATGGTTGTATTTGAGTATTTATAGAGAGATTTTTGCTACAGGAACTAACTAACTCCATGGAGCTACAGACCGCTGTGGTTCTTGGCCACCTCTTTGCTACAGGTATTTTTCGATATCGATTAGCACACCATTTCCTCATTACACAAACACTTATTTGATTTACATTATAATAAATCTCTTATAATTCAAAATTTGACAAATATTATTTCATGATCTGACAGAAAATTTCATGCTCTTTTCAGTGATGTGTGATAATCCTAGGATATTTGGAGAGAAATTTAAGCAAAGTTCACTTGTATTTGTAACTGGTAAATTAAAATTTTCTCTATTATATTTAAAGTGTAATAAAACTTCAAAATAAAAATCCCACTTATATTATTTTTGCATTTGTAGAAAAATTTATGCTGTTTTCACTAATATACAGTTGTATTGGGGTATGTAGAGAGAGATTTCAGCTTGAGGGAGTTTTATATATTTTTATCACTATTTTGAAAATTTAATGTTTGCGATTTTTTGTATACATGAAGAAAAACTATAATGCTGAAGCTTATGATATCAGCAGATTTTGTTTTAAATTTATGACAAATAAATAAATTTTGAAAGCTCTTGGTCAATGAATATTGGTTTTACAAATGAAAACCAGATAGGTAATGCTGATTTTGAGCCCAAAATGTCTTTTCACCTTCAAGTATTTCAAAAATTGAAAAGCCCATAATTCTAAAACTAATTCTTATGATTGGCTAAAATTTGGTATTTTTACTTACATGTACATTTACTTAATATTTACAATTTTTCATTAAGATCTGAGAGGTGAAATCTTTCTTGGTTATTAATTTTCAACCAGAATTGTTGGTTAAACATGATAAGAAAAGATTCAAGTTTGATAAAGTAGCTGTCATAGTTAAAGATCTGTTTTTTACCATAGACAAGAAACAAGAATATAAAAAAGAGAAAATATTAAAGAGAAAAGCTGAAGGTTATAGTATAGTAAAGCTGAGAAAGATGAAATCAAGGTATATTTGATTGCATTAGTGATCAGTTAGGATGATATTTTAGAGATATGGATGACAGTTTAGAAATTGTTATGGACAAACTATTGACTATAAGTTCATATTAATATCAATAGAAGAATAGAATAATATGGAATATATGTATATTGTACTGTTTCATTTGTTTTTTTTTATGTTTAGTTGATTTATTTATTTTTTGGGGGATTTAGTTATATCTGGAGATGGTGGCACACCCAGTCTCTATAAAGTGGGTACCCTTAATCAAATAACTAATTAAGGAGGAAAACCTGGTGATTGAACATGATCTCGGTCAAATCACCTCCTTGCACTATCGTTGACCAAGAAACAGTACTTTCCCTAAGTAGTACTGAACCCAAGACCCTTCATGGGTTGTAGTGGTACAGGTTTTTAGTTGTGTCAATTAAAAAATTGAAAATTCATGTAAATATTATTGACCTACATTTTTCTATTGTTTGAGCGATATTTCATTGTGTTTGCAACTCAATGAATCAAAATTATGTGGTTGATTCATGTTTCGTTCCTGTCCCCTATTGGGATAGTAGATTGCTATTATATAGTTGATGAATATTAAGAGATGTGTATATTTGGTAAACAGAGTTTGATTATTTGTTTTATAATTACAATTTTATATGAATTTTAAGTGTTCTTGTGGCTCACATATTTAAACGTTGTTGTCTCTATTTAGAGTGTCCTTTGTCTGGCATATAAAAAGCAGAAAATATTCAGAAATAAGTAATATTACATTATTCAAATTATTCAATTGGGAGACCTGGTTTAAGAAAAGTTATTTATAACTCACAGAGAACATTAATTCACAATGCTCCTGATTCTTACATATATTAGACAGGAGTTGAAATGGGATTATGTAGTAAGATTACGGATTTATTAATTATATATTAATTATTATATATTATATAATTTTATAAGATATAATATATTTTATATTATCTATAAAATTATAATATAACTTTTTTTCATTGATTATCTTTAGATAAGAATGAAATATTTTATTAATGAATTAGTCTTTAACCAAAATTCTATTTAATTTATTTATACTATTTCTTGTCTAAGTAGTTCATAGTCTTAACCAACATATAGTCAATTATAGGAACACTAGATGAGGGACAGTTTAATGTTGTTTAGAAAGAAATATCTTTCTCCTGATCTGTTGGCCTTTAAACAGGAAAAATACTCCTTACAGACTGTTCAATATTTAATTATTAAATCTTCCATTTTTGTTTTAACATTGACAAACAAGCTAATGAGAAATATTTCAGTAATAAGGTATATTATAACCATCATGTATTCTGGAATACATGATTATCTTTACTATTTCTTCACTTGATTCTAATCCTCATTTTTATGATTTTATATTTTCTTATATTATAATTTGAATACAAAAAATAGGATCAGAATAAAAGTTGAATATGAAAAACATTTGTGGAATATTTATTTAATATATTTTATTCTTTGGTTATAAATTTACAAGAACATTAAAATATTACATTTCTCATATGGGCATGTCATTTTTTGTTTGCTTACTAAATGATTTGTAAATAAAAGTTAAAAAAAAAAAAAAAAGGCAAGAGATTTAGACTGATAGGAATGGGTGTATTAAAGTAATTATATATAATTTTAATACTGATGAAAATAATACAAGCTGTGCTTTTCTCATATTTTTACAAAATTTTCTTGAGCTATCGTTTATGCTCCCTATTCAATAAAAAAAGAGAAGATAATAAACATATACAAAGTATCATAATATCCCAGCATAAGTACTCTCACCAAAGTGACTAAGACTGTCATTTTTAAGCATATTGTAGTGTAATGTTATTTCAATAATTTACTAAAATAAATAAGAAAATATGGGAAATGAGATCGCTTAAGGTGAAAAATTCATGGAAATAACTGTTAAGCCTTTGATTTTTCAATTGCTATAATTAAAGCAAATAAATTTGTTTTACAAATTTTTGCAGTTAAATAAAAAAAAAAAAATCACAACAATAACTGATCAATAGATAGATATACATTATATACAAAAAATAATTTAGCAAAATGTAATATAACTTTAAGTGAAATAAAGATATCAGGTAACAATGGTGATACAGTACTTACATGTGGTGTTGTCATTGTATTTATAAATATAACATCAAATATATATATATATATATATTTATAAATATGTATATGGATAGTTAGACATACATTTCCACACATATAAAATAGGATCTTACCTAAACGTTTTACCACGAAACTTAAAACGCACGTGTGAACGCAATATAAATATACTCTATAGGCAGGTCTATGTGCGACTTATATATTATACCACTACACGTAATTGATAATATTGTAAACATAATATTTTCCTATACACTAATAATACAACTTTTTTTCCATTTACATTACATCTTACTCTCGACATTACAATAAAATCTACTTTAAGGGTGTTTACTACAAGTTACATGAGGACAGTCCTAGATAGAAAAAAAAAATCATTTGTCTTCATATACACGAAAATGTACAAAATTTACAATTGAGAAACATTCGGGCAAACATAACAAAGTAATCTAAAACTTTCACAGACAACAGAATTGATCACTTTAAAGACTGTGTTAGTTCATCATTGGTCAAACTGATAGTCATCATGAAACAATAAATGTTCAAATAACATTTTCTGATCTCATTTATCACAGGTGTTTTAAAATATGAAATTTCATAATAACGTCATGAAACTTCATGAAATGAATTAAGAAGTATAAAATATGCCCTTCACATTTATTTGCACTTTGTCTGCAAATTTCAATAAATTAAGAACAACAATACTTATATCCTTAATCTCTAAAAACGCTAAATGTTAAACGCAATGCCCCATTTGACCGCATAAAAAGGCCCTGAAGAAATAAAGTACAAAGGTTTGTCCCTTAGTCATGTTAATTCCATGTAATAATATAACAAATGACATTCACGTTTTCAGTTAAATATACAATATTTAAATTAATATATAAGTTTCATTAATTAGATTTTAACAAATTGTCAGTCCCTTTCCTCTATATCCTGACCCATCCGTCTGCGATCAAATTAAAGACTAGTTTCGAAATAGGAACATTGCAGCCACGCTCCCTGTTTTTAATACCACAAGTAAACCTATTAATCACATAACAAATGGACAAGATATGTATTATGATTTTTTCATCATATGAAGTCATCTATTCCAACTCTATCTATTAAACTGATTTGTCATTATTTGTAAATTTTAAGAATGAGAACTTTTGCTCGATTTTCATTCTTTGTTTAGAATTGAGCCATCTGTAGAATAGACTACTCCATATCTTTGTATAAATATTTATTATAAATTAACATGAGATAAAACAGTCCCCCAATGTTTTGTCAGCTTTTATTGGGTGAATGAGTATGGCTGTTGAGATTCATGATATGTTGGAAGCTATGGTTTGCTTGGAGGGAATAGGCTGTATCATGCGGCCAAACCTTCTCCCCTAGGAGGTGGTGGCATTGCTTGCTCCTCTGGTTTTCTTTCAAAGTGTAGATCCCAGAGAGAAGGTGGAGTTGCTCCGGAATGTGGTGGCTTCTCTGGAGACCGAGGTTCTCCCTTCATTTCTGATGGAAATCCTCCAAACGCCATCATGCCATTGTGGCTGCCACCTCCACTGCCACCCATTGGCATTTCAGAAAGCTGTTTAAACAAATAAGTTTACTTTGAAAATTACCAGTATTAATAAAAACAAATTGTTATATTGAATATACTATTCTAACGTGACACAGACCATCAGATCTTTCACAGACTAATCTTTTAAATCAGAAGAAATTAAATCAACTACATTGTATGTAACAGAAATAACCGAACATGTATGTGGGAGGAATCACTCCAATGCCTTGGCTTGTGAACTCCATGATGGCTATTTATTGGAAGATCTACATCTCCCAACATATGTCAAGTGAAATTTAATGAGTATTATTTACAGTAACTAATAAATTACCTTTTGATGGATCCCATTAAGGAAAGGGGCTGGGAGATATGGGTAGAAGAGATCTGGCCGCCTGTGAAGGAACTCTGTGTCTTTGGGAAGTTGTGGAAGCTCTAGGGACATTCGCCTCCCTCTGCGTGAAGCTCCGTTTGTCCACATATGCGTTCCCATATGCACCTAAAATTCAATTTATTAATTATAAATTAAACAAATATAATGAAACTATGCAACTGTAATAAGTACAAATGAAAATTTAATTTTTAAATTAATGTATGAATCATTACATTAGCCTTCATGTTGCTTTATTGAATTTTATTTTTCTAAATTCTTGAAAACTAGAATATTATTTTTTGGAGATTTATTCTTATGCTTTTAAATAGTAAAGGCAATTTTTATTGACTAGAAAAATTCGCAATAGTAAGCCTCATTCATTGTTTGTTGATGGTGAAGAAATCATTAAAAATCAAAATTTCTCTTGATAAATAAAACAAAATATATATAATGCAGAAACTTTTCTGATTGTGAAACAAATTTTTTGTGGACTCAACCTTCATTTTTCTTTCTCCACTTTTTACTCGTCAACATGAGAAAGTGTAATGATGGACCCATGTCTCATCACTTTTGACTATACACCAAAAAAAATGATCTCCTTGTTGAAATTGAATCAAAAGTTCCTTATAAATTTACGACCTGACAAGTTTTTTATTTTTGGTGAACTTACACCCATCACTACTAACTTTTCTGAAGTCAAGAAGGCCTGTGATAATCAATTGAATACTCCCTTAGCTGATTCCCACTTCTGTTAAGATTTACAGTCATGTCCAATAAGCTTTTGCATGATGTGAGTAGTGTCTTCTACCCTTGCAGAATGATCATCAAATGCGGTAACCAAAATACATTATTTTGATAAAATTTGATATTGCTACCATAATAATTTTCAGTAGACCTCATTGAGTATGATTTTAATGAATGGAGTATCCAACTTTTTCATATATTCCAATGGCTTAACAATACATACAGTTATAAGTTATAAGTTACAGTTATAAGTTTTTTATTTTATTTCATAACTCTTAACGATGAATATTTTTTTGAAATTTGGATTATTGTATAATATTTAAATATAGAAACTTTTATTAATAGCGATTGAAATATCTAATTATGTTTACTAATATATTAGGATAATATCGGTTTATAAGTTGCTTATGTAATTAAAAATTGAAATAATAGGATTAACTGGACTTAATAATATAAATTTGACTGATATTTTAGAGGAGAAATATGACTGCCCATAAATAAATTTATTTAAATAACCAGTTTATTATTCTTAGTTAAATAAAAAAAAAAAAAGGAAAAAATTCAAGAACATATAGGTAGGCAACTGCTATTTCTAGTTTGAAATACCCTGTTTTAGTTTTAAACTTTGTATAACAACTAACATTTTGAAAATAAATTACATCTAATTTACTCGTGATAAGTATTTTAATTCACATTCCACATTGGTTTATTATTTTATAGTGAGGGTTTCCAAACCCACACTAATCACAGGCATCTCCTATCTAATTCACTAATGCTTTTTTTCTGTCTTTTATTTTTCGTTATATTAAAATAACTAACAATGTACGTAAAGTTGAAAAAACAACAAAGAAATATTTTCACATTACGACCCAATCAACAAACAATAACTGACTTAAGTAATAAACCAAATGTTTTAATTCTAATTAAAAACATGATATTTAATGTAAAAAAGTGGTTAGTTTGTTCTTGGATCTTGAGACTTTGTCGAATAGTTAGTATGGGTGTGGTACTTAAGCAAAAAGTTTGGAGACTGAAGTTCTATACTGTCTTTATCAAATTATGAAATATAATAACTAAAAGCAATATGGTATTTATATGTTCTTATTTAATATTTATCATAATACAAACACAATTAATCACTATATTATTGTATATTTTAGAGAAAAATATAAATTTATTTCTAAAACAGCTATTCAATTTTTAAAAATTTAAAATGGTTACTAAGAACAAAGTTATTTTTATATGTATTTTAGAAAGTGTTTGTATTCATGATCAACTAAATCGGTTGACAGATTGACAAACTGTTGGATCCAAATAGTCACTGGTCTTGCCACAGTGAATTAATCAAAGACAAAGTTAGTAATTTTGAATAACGTTTATTTCACTCACCTTGAGGTTTCCTTTGGTGGTGAAGGCTTTGTGACAGATAGAACATCGGAACGGCTTGTCCCCAGTGTGGGTCCTCATGTGGATCTGGAGAGCAGACGATGAGGAGAAGTTCTTATTGCAAACATGGCACAAGTGCTTGGGCAAGCCTGCAAACCACACCCGCGTGCTGTTAGCTCAGCATTCACACCACTCAATAATTTTAATACTTTAGTATTTCTTTTGATTTATCTTTAAAATTTAGATAAATCACAACCAACTGTCTTGAAAGTGTTAAAATTAATCAACTTCAGTCAGAAATACAATTTTGTTTTTTTCTAAAGATTAAAACTATTATCATACCATTAATATCCAAAATTAGAAGTATTAAGTTATTAAAACAAGGTAATATGGACCCTAGTTTTTCAATGTACTGTGATTACATGAATTAATCAATAATGATGGGTTGTTAATGAGGGATTGTTTTATTGGTGATATTTTTTAAATTGTTAATTAGGGAAGTATTATTTTTGGTTATAAGAAAAAAAAAACTGTGTATACTCTTTGTTAATTGCAAGGATTTTTGTACAACACAAAATGTTATGAAGAAGTTTTTTATTTCATCTTAGTTGAAAAGAGATTCTTTTTGTGTTGAACAATTAAGTTTTAGTAAATAAGCAAAGCAAATAAGCATTTAAAGCTGTTAAAAAATAAAATAAATATCTAAGTTAATATTGTATAAATAAATTGAGATGTTATTTTTATTTTATTTTTTTAAATAATGGTTCAAACAAAATAATAAAGCTTAAAAAATCAAAAAGCAGACAGAGTATACAATGGAAAGTGACAAGACCAGATAGATAAATCCCTTGATGATGGAGTGAACCTCTAAAAATTACATAAAATTATTTAATCAATGCTTTTCAGATTAACAGCCAGCGGATGTGGTACTTACACTTTCAAAGTTTATTGTATTTATTAACTTTTAAAGGAATTATATAACTAAATTTATTGATCTCTTTGTATGTGTTCTTATTGACTGTATCTTTTGACTAAAATCAAATCTCTCCAATATCACCATTGTTTTATTAATTCATGTTATTATTTTCAGCACAAATTTTACTTTGCTAAACTTTGAAATGTATTTTGGTTGCAAAATATATTATAAGAATAATTCATTGTTGCATGAAATAATAATTTAAGAACTACAGTTTATAATTACTTATGGAGTAGTTTATTTTTCAATTTCCTATTGTATGATCTGTTCTGACAAGTTAAGGTGACAATTTCGACAAACAATGTTCTAATTTACTTAGTTCAGTGTTTAAACTTACTTGGCTGTCGTTTGGGTAGAGGCATTGCTGGGGTGTCTCCCTGCGGTGGAGATCTCTTTACACCAAGCTCTATTTTCTGTTGAGGACTTGGTGGGCGTGATGGTTCCACTTCGGCCTGTTGGATAGGCTGTGGTGGTTGACTCGGTTGAGGTGGTGTTGGTTGTTGATTCTGCATTGGTTGTGGCAGCGTAGGCTGTTGTTGTGGTAGAGGCTGTTGTTGCACACTTGGGTTCAAGTTTCCTTCTGGATTGACGACAGTTGCACTGGGTGTTCCTCCTCCTTGTTTCTGTTCAAACAGGTGTGGAGGCATGTCTCGTATTTTATGGGTGAGCATATGCTGTTTCATGTTCCCCTAAAATCCATTACTTATATTAATTGAATAATTAACAGAAAATGATTTTTTTTTTTAATGACAAAATTTGAAATAAATCTTAAAGATTGTTTTGCTTAAACAAATTTACTATAAAAAAGTATAAATTTTTGAGGAAGTCATTGGCAACAACGATTGAGCAAACCCACAAAATAGAAACCATTTTACAATATTTTTTTAAAATTTGTATTGTATTTATTCTGCCTCAACATTCATTTTATTCACATTGAGTGGTGTAGTTTAAACAAAATCTGGATGCTGTAAATTCATGTTTTAGTAAATTGTACATGTTCTATTAAATATGAAGATAATAAATATAAAATAATGTATACTGTTTTTTTTTTATATTTTCAAACTTCTTAAAATAGATTTTTTTTTTTATTGACTTGTCTTAATGTAATAAATTGATGTTTGCATTTCAATAAAATATTCATTAAATTTTATTCTTGTTGTAGATTATAGATAAAAAATAAGAAAGTTAATATAGGCAAGACTGTTATGAATAGAAAATTATTGTGAGTGGCAGTCTATTCAGTGATTGGAACAGGTTCAGGCTCTGCTAATTTGGGATGAGGAATGTTTTCTAGCTAGGATGTCTATAATTTCTCTCCTCTTGACCAAGCTCTTATTCTATTGAGTAATGCATTTTTAAATTTTATTTTAAAACCTATATATAAATATACTATCTAAAAAATTATTTTATACAGCTAATTATAAGGTGAAAGTTACCTTCGTTGAAAATCCCCTGTCACATATGGTGCATTTGAATGGCCTTTCTTTAGTGTGACTCCTGTAGTGAATTTCGAGAGCTGAATTGCAGGCAAATGTTTTGAAACAGAGGTTGCAAGTTGTATTCCCTCGAACTAAAATTGAAATATTACTTAAATTTGAAACAGTTTTGTTAACTTATTTTATTTAATATGTAACATAACAAAACATTGATTTAATTTATTGTTGAATGTCACATTGCTTTAAAAATCCAACTATTAATTAAATAGTAAATAATATTAGCTGAACTCCTTCAATAATAATTTTGAAACATTACAATGGTTAACTATGTATTCTTCATTTAAATAATATAAAACGAGAATATTGTTTTATAGACAAAAATGCCTGTAAAGATCTTTATTTCTAAATGAGTAAGATATGTGTTCATTTATAGTTAAATGTGTTGTTAGGCATGTAAGGCTGTTTTTATTTTCAAAGTTGAATCAAAAATAGATGGGGACTCTTCAGTCATCTATAACCTGAGAGAATGGAAATGTGCCTTAGGGGAGAAGATAGTTTAGGCTAAGATATTTAGAATCTATTTTTAATTATAGAAGGGACTGAAAGTTCGAGATGCAGGACTGCAACTGACAGCGTAAAAATACAATAGACACCAGCTTTAAATACCAACAAATGAATATTTGGCTGCGTATATATTTTTAGAACTCAGTCAATCAAGTGCTGGCAGTCGCACAATTATTCCAGCATTCTCTTTCTCATTAACAAATTGTTTTTTCATTTGATACCTAAATGGATTCTAAAATATTATTATTTAAAAATATTACCTGGGGGTCCTACTGCGAGACCCAAGGGGTTGAAAGCTGTCGTCGTGAGGACTGAGGAAGTTAGGGAAGACAAAGCAGATGTGATGAGAGGAGCTCCGCTGGCGGGAGGGAAGAATCCTGGAAACATAGAGGATGAGGACCTCGGTGTCAGGTCCAGGGCCCCCAGTGAGGAAGACTCAGAGGCTGCAGGGGACTCTCGTGTCAGTTGCAGCGCCGCTGGTGAAGGCCCGCTTTCAGAACCGCTTCTAGGGCTCTGGCCGGGCGATTTCATGTCTCCATTCACTGTAATAGGGTTATAATCTTTGTTACTCGACATGTCGTCACTATCATTAACAAATTTTGAAGGAATATAGTGGGAGGCAATGGTAGTAATGGTCCGAACTTGATTCTCAAGAGCGGTAATGGATGTGGAGAAAGCGGCGTCGGATATTGGACTGAGGGAACTAGCCCTGACCTCCTCAGCGTAGTCATTCTTCTCTTCTTTTGGACTCGGGGAGGGTTGAGGAATAGGAGGAAAATGAATTGGGAAGTTTGGTTGGGGTGTGAATTCTTTTATTTCGGCCGCTTGGATCTGTTCGGGCGTGAGGTCTGTTGGCTCTCCTGTGTGCAGCCTGATATGCTGCTGTAGGACGAGGCCATTCGTAAATTTCTTGTGGCACACAGGACATTGATGTAACATTCTCATCGGTGGTTTTATCCTGTGTACACCCATGTGTGTTTTTAAATTTCCCTTCGTAGTGAATGCCCTACCACAGATCTTGCAGCGAAATGGCCGTTCCCCAGTGTGTGTCCTGTAGTGCATTTGTAAGGCGCTCTTGCAGGACAATACCCTGTGGCAGATCACACACTGGTTCGGGTCTATTAGTTTGTTTTCGATGTTGTCAACTAATTGTTGTAACTTGTGCGTTTCCGACGTCTTGGTGATCTCGATGAGGCTCTCCCAAGAATTGTCGGTGCTGCCGGGGCGGGGAAGGAGACTGGAATATATGGCAGGGTCTTTTATAGGATCAGGCTCATTAGGAAGGAACCCCCTCGGAGTCAATCTATGTACACTACCTGAAGAAGTACTACTAGGAGGTGAGGCTATATTAGGAAAGTTAACAGACTGTTGAAATCTGTGATCTGGGGTTAAAGATAAGTGACCTAAGTCAGACGTACTTTTATTAGAGAGGTTCTCTGGTTGGTCCTGGAAACTGTCTTCGTTCTTCTCCATTCCTGGGCTGTCTCTGTCTCCTGGGATGTCTTCTCCGGTGTACTTGCTATCTAGGCTGCAGTCATCGTAGCCAGGAGGCGACGGGTACCTCTCCAGTTCCCCCTCCGCCTCCACCTCCCGCTTAGGGCTGAGTCTATCCTCTCGTAGCTCCTCGTCTGTCGGTTCCTTTTTGTATTCCTGTTCCGTGGAAGTTTGGTCCGGGGCCTTACTAAGGTTTTCCGGCATCTCTTGTTCGATTCGAGGGCCGAATACTGAAACCGGGAGGATAGGCTTATTGACAGGTTCGTGAGTCCTCTGAGGGGGGAGGACGAGGTCGTGGGGCGGACGATAGAGAGGTGTGAACTGGGGAGGAAAGGGTGGCGGCCCCGGTGGAAGGCTTTGGTGAGCACCCATCTGCGCCAGCAAAGGGGGGTGATATTTGTCCAGATGTTCAGGAACTGGATTTGGGTTCATCTTTATGTGAGGAAATTTTGCTGAATGTCTTTGGAAATGGACTTTAAGGTTTCCCTTTGTCGTGAACCTGCTGCCGCAAACATTACATTTGAAAGGTCGCTCACCTGTGTGAGATCTAATATGAATTTGTAGAGCAGAATCACTCCCGAAAACTTTTCCACAATAACGGCACCTATGTTTAAAGAACGGTTCATTTCTTCCACCTGTTCTTGAATCATAGGGAGACACTCCTCCTTTGCCACCATTTTTCCTGAATGCAAGTTCATCTGCCAAGTTATTAGCTAGCAAACCTTGACTAGCATTGTCTAAAACTTCTTGGGCACGCCTTTGGAGCATCTCTAGGGTATTGGGCTCACTCGGGGAAGGCGGAGGGTCGAGGTTAGTGATGATGGAGGAAGCGAACGATGACGAAATGGAGCAGGGCGGAAGGGAGACAGGCGGGGATGGCTGGGGCGGCACAGTGACTGCTGGTGGTGGAGTTGGTGTTGGTTCTGGCGGCGATTCCGGTTTGACGGTGACTGGTGTTGGACTTCTGCTTCTTTTCGCCATTGGTGGTGGGGTACTGTCCTTCGGCCTTGTGATCTGCAATTGTTGTTGCAATTGCTGTATCAGGTTGAGCTGCATCATCTGTTGGTGTTGAAGTGTGTAAAGGGTGGATTGAAGCACAGCCAGTTCTTGTAGTGCTGCTGGATTATCGGCATTGTTTGCCATAGCCGTAGCAGCGAATTGGGCTACAGCTACTTTGGTGTTCTGCAGAGCTTCAAGTGTGACGTGCCCTGGGCTACCAAACGGGAATACAATTTGCTCTTCTTCCTCCAAGCTGTTATTGTTTTCAGCATCTTGACGCCTTGCTTCGTCCGTCTTCCCACCATCTTCGCCCAATAAGCATAGCTTACTGTGTTCTGCCAGCTCTGGATATCCTCTAAATTCGGCACCGCACTGTGGGCAAGCTGGTCCGACTGCTTCACCAGAAGGCGTTTCCTCGTCAGAACCGGAACAGCTCTCACCTGTAAAATAATTTTAACGTTTTATTTTTCAGTATGGACAAGTATTCAAACATATTAATAAATTAATTTAATTTGTTTCTAATTTAATTTGTTATTCTAACGATAAAGTAAATCTTTTCCTTTTTCTTTTTATAAAAAACGAAATTAGATATTAATAGATTACAAATTAGTTGTAATTGTTTATTGGGTTACATTCGTAATACTAACGAAACAGAGAAAAGCGTAAGCGTTTATTAAACGGATACAATAAGAAACGTTCAAGGTATAAGGAACAAAATAGATAAATATAAAGGTAAAGATAAATATATGTATATTGGAATATTGACCCCCATGAAGCTAAAATGGAGGCGGAGTTAAGGAAGAAATATGATTGGTTGGGGGAAGGCGCAAGCCCGCTTCTCAGATGATCTAATATCCTTGAGTTATGACAGATGGGCGGGGCTTCTTTACCCCTCCTATCCTTGCCCTACTGTTCTCTTTCTCTCCTTCATGTATCAAACTTATTCCTCATCGTTTCTTGCATGTCATTTTTGTTATCCGTTTGTTATTCTGGTTTTTCAGTCATTTGTTTTTGTCAATCATTAAATTATTACCATTTTTTATTTATACCATTAAATTTGTCTTTTTATTTTCTTACCGCGACAAAGTTAGAGATGTACCTATTATAATCGGATCAAATTTTCAATGTGCTTTTATCAACAGATCTCAATTTTTCAGTTCTCCCTTGAGTCAGAAAAACGCACTTTCAGCTATTATTCTTCCTGTCTGTACCCCATTTCTTTCTCGAACAGGTGAACCGATTATAATCCTTCTATTTCTGTGCTGTAAGGTCTCGGCCACCGATATACCATACATTCTAACTACTCGCGCTAAAGCTACTCGCGAGCTAAGAGGAGCTACTCGCGCAAAAGAGGCTGCGCAATAGAAGAAAACGTTATATATATATAGTACATTACAGAGAAAAAACAGGAAATAATTTAAAAAGAAAAGAATTCTTTTTTTCTATAACTCAAAGGCTCATTTAATTTTTACTTTCTGTTGTTAGCTCTAAATTAATTATTTTTACGTGACGCAAGCAGTCAAAAAAATTATTTTCTTTATCTTTTTCTAAGATTTATTACATTCGGCTTATAAGGCAATTCTATGTCCTTTCAGGCCAACCTTTCAGTAGATAGAGTAAAAAAGGGGAGAAAAAAAGTTCGTGATTAGGTTCGATTATTAAAAGGATATTAAAAAAAAAAAATGTTCCCACACCTTTTCAGAAGATTGGCGGTGTACTTTATTTGCAAATGGTTCTCGAGTTTTACGAGGGCGGGACTGGCTTCTTAGTAAAATGAAAGGGAATCGAGACTTCCTCTCGGTCAGATTAAACTCTCAGCGATTCTTCCCAAATTCGTTCGAACCTCTTTGGACATTTATAGTGGTCGTTGCCCGGCAACGAGCGCTCTTTTACGGCTTCATCAGGTCTGTCGGCTCGTTTGAAGCCTTTCAAATCGTAAGTGATTTCGTATTTATTCATAGTTATCTGATTTAAAATAAACTGTTTTTCATCTTATCTTTTATACTACAGTATTTTTAAATAATCTTCTTGAGATAACAATGTTTTGGATTCGTTTAATTTATTGATAAACTATCCAGATTGCCATATTTTGTTTGTAATATAAATTCAAGGGCCAAATAATTATAAAGATACAGCTGATACTACATAAATATTCCGTTTAAAATTCCTTGACGAATTTATGTGCATGTTTAAATTTTCTTGATCTACATCTACTAATACTTTGAGGTTTCAACTCTCTTGATTTCTCTCATCCGTTGGGAAGTTTATTTAACTAATTTAGTAACTCATTTTTTTTTCCACAGTGGATGTTCGACGAAGCGATGAAGGTATTAGAAAAAGGATTGTGGGCGGATAAGGTTTTTCCTGGACTCGCGACCCCGCCGAAGGCCCGTGGGAGGTCCCTCAAGACAATAGTTTCCCACAGTGGAAAACGCCGATTTTCCGGAGTCGGTCATGCACGGCCAGTGCCCGCCAATCCGAGAGCTCCTTCCTGATTTATATGAAATCATGCATAAAAATAAATGGCCACCATCGTTGTTAGAATCGTTGCCGCCACTTCTTTGTCTTTGGTTCATCCCGTACTGCACCTGTCGCTTCACACTCTATAACCTAGTTGAGGTCTTAGGAAAACTAAATCACCACCACCATATTGGTGTTTAAGGTTGTAAACACTAATACTGTGTCCGCTTCAGTTCATGGCATCTCAATACTTTTCCAATATTTCGAGCTAATTTTTAAAACTGCAATAATTGAATTGGTTATTTTTGAAACAACGCATGCTTAATTGTTATAGGTTTTAAGTTGAGACTTGTTCTGGATAAATTGTCTTTAGGTACATTTTTCAATAGAAGAAAACATATTACATTTATGATATAAAGATTGATTGTTCACCGTATATATTTTTAAAAGACTTTTGTCTATGATATTATTTAAAACTTCAGTATAAAGTAGTTTTTTCAAATTGTAAAATTATCACACAAGTCGTTTCTGAAATAAATTCATCAATTAATGTTAATCCCTAATGCCTAATTAAGTGTTGGTATGTAAAAATTTACGGTTGATAAGTTTGTGCCATACTATATACTATTATAAGATCCAAAGGTTGAATCTCATATAAACTACAAGAGGCCATTGACCAAGCCATGAACAAGGGAACTAATAGTCTTGTTATCCCTTTATCAGAGCGATATTAATGGGGGATAATTACCCGAGCCAGGGGGGTCCTAACAAACTCGCTCACCTGACCCCTGTTTGTAATAGAAGTCTCATTAGGGGTCCCTGTTCCAATTTAATTAACCTTCAATTAGTAAGCAGATTATTTTCGATATGGTCCTGTACAAGCGATGGTCACTCCACCCATTCCGGAGGCTCGGAATCAGAAGATGGACGCTATTCAAATCCTATCGAATCGTCAATGCAGATAATGAGCTTTAAATGCGGTTAACAAGGGACATAAAAAATTCCAACCTACAAGGAAATGCACGAGGGAAACATGATGTTTAATTAAAATCGATAGCGTCTAGTCCCGGCAGGGCTTATCTCGACCAGAAGTCTACAATCGATTCCTTATCAGTCATCTAAACTTGGCCTCGGCTACCCTTATTATAAATAACATGTTTAATGTGAGTTCTAAGTAATATAATACATCTCCAAGTTCTATCTTCGGTTCCGAAAAAAATATTTTTCAAATCACATAACATATACTATGCTTTTAATTTCAGATGATTATAGTTCGTGTAAAGTGGAACTAAACAGTAATGAAGTATATTATAAATAATAAAATTATCTTTAAAATGTTAATTAAGTTTAAGAGGATTATTAAAAAATAGATCTATATTGTTTTTTATTAATTTTAAAATTGGCCGAAAGAGTACATTTTGTACTTAAAAGTTGAAATATAATTGTATATTTCAAAGATTTTTTTTTTCACAAAACAAGACAACTAGTGATACCTCATCACTAGACTATCGAATCATCATTTTTCAATGTTCATAATTTTCGACTGATTAATTTATTCCTTGTAGTCAAAGCAGTTGTAGTTCTTTATCTTTTTGTATTTATTTATTTTTTCTTAGTCCATTATTTATTAAAATTTGTATAACGTGGAATAGAATTCCTAGAATTCGAAATTTATGAAAATGATAAACCGATATTCTAGAGATAAGGCTCACTACTTGTCTTGTTTTGTGAAAAGAACATACCGTTGGAATATAAATTATATTTTAATTAATGAGAAAATGCACTTTTACGACCAATTTTAAAATTATTAAAAAACAATACGAAATTAATACAAAAATTATAATAAGTAGTATTTATTAATTTAAGTGTATTAGCAAATTTAATATATCAGTATAATAATGTTTTTGTTTTTATTTTTGTAATTTATTTCAAATACCTTACCACAAAAATTGTTTTAATAATTTTGTGACAAATATTAATTGGCTGTTCCAGCACTGTAAGTTGTCTGCCCGCATTTCTCTGTATATGATCTAATTTTAAAACGACTCATTTTTAGATTTATGTCATTTGACAGCGTCTCACTTAAAAAACACTTCTTCAACAACAGATTGACCATAAGATCTCGTGCCATCTCCCCCCCCCCACCCCTCTCCTCCCCAACTTCTATAACAAGATCGGCTGGAAAGACATTTCGAATTCCAGATTTCTATATAAATCCTGCGTTACACGGTCGCACGACTGTCCTATTAGAAAGGAAGCCAGTATGGTAAAATGTATCATGGCAAAAACTTCTCGATTCTGCCATATGTCAGACTCTAAATCTGGCCTCCTCTAGCCCCGGCTACAGATCTTCTCCCCTTAGCGATAAATTTAAAATCCCATTTGCTCTTCATCCCTTAACACAAATGTCAGTCTATCGGATGTTAAATAGGAACAGACATCTGTGCCAACCTTTCAGACAAATCCCTTATCTCGTTCCAACTATTTAAAACGGTGTGTATTTTGTACGTTATAAACGAGAGCCACGTTTGCTTTTTAAGGTGATTATTTAATAATGTTAAGTAACATTGGTACAATCCGCCAAAAAAAAATAAATATATATATATATATATATATATATATTTATTTTTTTTCCACTTTTTGAAAATGACAGACTTCCGTCTTTGATATCGTCGATACAAATACTAACTATTGAAAAGAAAATATATATACAAAAAAAAAAAAAAATAAATTCTGCACTCTAGCTATTGTGATTATATTTATTACCCTCCTACCAACTCCTTCTCATATAGTAGTTATAATTAAATATTTTTAAATAGCGAATACAAAATCTTTTAACATTCATAAAAGCAGATATTAATGCAGACCATTTACCAATAGAATTGGGATAATAACTTCATTTAAAATGATTATTAGAAATAATCCGCACAGTAAATAAATTGTACATATATTCATGCTTCTCCAAATATTTTAAAATACTTTTTTTTTTTTCAGGGAACGAGGATTTCAGGTGTTTTTTTTTTAAACGTTCGAGAATGAGTAAAATAAATTTCATGAATCTTGAGCCTGAATATCATCACAGGCTTTTAAATGTAAGTTTTTTCTTGTTTTTTGTTATGAATGATCCTGTTAACCATTTGAGTTACTTTAATTTGTTTTCTCGTAATTTTGGATGTTTATTAAATTCTTTTCCTTTACTACTTATATTACGAAGACAATTTTCAATTCTATAATCTATTTTTGATAGTTTATAAAATTATTGCAAATTATTGAAAGGTTAATATTATTGATTTTTATATTTCTTATTTAAAAAAATATATGTCGGAACGCGTTTTAACTTAAAAAAAAAGGAAGCTTTTTGTAACGGTTAGTATTGTACTATTCCTAACTTAAATTCATCTATTAATAAATCAATTGAGTGGCTTCATATCAAAGATGGACATCTGTAATTTTTAAAAGTTGGTAATCTCCATTCAATCCAATTCTAATGTGTGTTTTTTACATTATTCACCTTATATATTCTTAAATAAAACAGTTTCAATTAAAGCTATATAACAAAAATTAACTTTTTTTCCACTTTTTGAAAATGACAGACTTCCGTCTTTGATATCGTCGATACAAATACTAACTATTGAAAAGAAAATATATATACAAAAAAAAAAAATAAATTCTGCACTCTAGCTATTGTGATTATATTTATTACCCTCCTACCAACTCCTTCTCATATAGTAGTTATAATTAAATATTTTTAAATAGCGAATACAAAATCTTTTAACATTCATAAAAGCAGATATTAATGCAGACCATTTACCAATAGAATTGGGATAATAACTTCATTTAAAATGATTATTAGAAATAATCCGCACAGTAAATAAATTGTACATATATTCATGCTTCTCCAAATATTTTAAAATACTTTTTTTTTTTCAGGGAACGAGGATTTCAGGTGTTTTTTTTTAAACGTTCGAGAATGAGTAAAATAAATTTCATGAATCTTGAGCCTGAATATCATCACAGGCTTTTAAATGTAAGTTTTTTCTTGTTTTTTGTTATGAATGATCCTGTTAACCATTTGAGTTACTTTAATTTGTTTTCTCGTAATTTTGGATGTTTATTAAATTCTTTTCCTTTACTACTTATATTACGAAGACAATTTTCAATTCTATAATCTATTTTTGATAGTTTATAAAATTATTGCAAATTATTGAAAGGTTAATATTATTGATTTTTATATTTCTTATTTAAAAAAATATATGTCGGAACGCGTTTTAACTTAAAAAAAAAAGGAAGCTTTTTGTAACGGTTATTATTGTACTATTCCTAACTTAAATTCATCTATTAATAAATCAATTGAGTGGCTTCATATCAAAGATGGACATCTGTAATTTTTAAAAGTTGGTAATCTCCATTCAATCCAATTCTAATGTGTGTTTTTTACATTATTCACCTTATATATTCTTAAATAAAACAGTTTCAATTAAAGCTATATAACAAAAATT